TAACATTTACATCTACAGGACTTCAACATAACTTGCATTCACAATAGTACTTTTTTTAATTTAAAGATTTATTTATTTAAAAGGCAAAGTGAAAGAGTGAGAGGGACGGACACACACATACACACACACACACACACACACACACAGAGGGAAATATCTTCCACCCACTGGTTCGCTCCCCAAATGCCCATACAACTGCCAAAACTATATCATGCCAAAGCCAGGAGCCAGGAACTCCATCAGATCTCCCACGTGGGTGGCAAGAACTCAAGCTGTCACCTGCTGCCTCCCAGGGTATGCATTAGCAGGAAGCTGGTTTGGAAGAATAGCCAGGACTTGAACCAGCAGGCATCCCCACAGCAGTTTAACCTGCTGGGCCACAACACTTGCTCCCATAGTAGCATTCTTTATTTATCATGAAAGGCTTAAGTTATTTCCAGAAAATGTTATTTCTTTTTTTTCTTTTCTTTTTTTTTTTTTTGACAGGCAGAGTGGACAGTGAGAGAGAGAGACAGAGAGAAAGGCCTTCCTTCCGTTGGTTCACCCCACAGTGACCGCCACGCTGATCCGAAGCCAGGAGCCAGGTGCTTCTCCTGGTCTCCCATGCAGGTGCATCCTCCACTGCACTCCCGGGCCACAGCAGAGAGCTGGACAGGAAGAGGAGCAACTGGGACAGAATGCAGCACCCCGACTGGGACTAGAACCCAGTGTGCCGGCGCCATAGGCAGAGGATTAGCCTATTGAGCCACAGCACCAGCCTGGAAAATGTGATTTCTAAAAAAGATTCATTTATTTGGAAGGCAGCGTAACAGAGAGAGAGAGAGGCAGAGAGAGACTTTCCAACTGCTGATTCACTCCCAAAAGGCTGCCACTGGGAAGCCAGGAGCCTGGAACTCCATGCAGGTCTCTCATGAGAGTGGTGGAGGCCCAACTACTTGGGCCATCTTGCACTGCTTTCCCAGGGGCATCAGTAAGGAGCTGGATCAGAAGCCAAAGTCAGGACTTGAACAAGCATTCCAATATGGGATGCAGGTATTATAAACGGCGGCTTAACCTGCTGTACCACAAAGTCAACCCCCAGAACATGTGATTGAATCATGTGGGAAATGGGTGCTATGTTTCATATTTTCTTCTTTCAGTAGATTGACTTTGTAAGTTAAAACAGCAAGTTATACTAATTTATGTTGGACACACAAAATTCAAATAGAAACATTTTAAATATCTGTAAGAATAGTCCTATATACTATAGGACTATATGCCATAATAGTCCTAAGAATATTACAAAATTCAAGATTCCCATCAAGTTCAAATATCTCTTTAAAAGGTGGATGGAAAAGACAATTACTTATTTTAGGAACCATTAAGTTTGAAGGTATTAGAAATAAGTGGAAAAGACATGTATTTCTACAAATAGATTGAAGATTTAGGTAACAAGTGTAATGAATTAAGGTTCTGAGCTAAACAGCCATATCTCTCTTTTTTTTTTTTTTTTTGACAAGTAGAGTTATAGACAGTGAGAAAGAGAGAGAGAGAGAGACAGAGAGAAAGGTCTTCCTTCCATTGGTTCACTCCCCAAATGGCTGCTACAGCCGGCGCTGTGCCGATCCGAAGCCAGGAGCCGGGTGCTTCCTCCTGGTCTCCCATGTGGATGCAGGGACCCAAGCACTTGGACCACCCTCCACTGCCCTCCTGGGCCACAGCAGCGAGCTGGACTGGAAGAGGAGCAACTGGGACTAGAACCCGGTGCCCATATGGGATGCCGGCACTGCAGGCGGAGGATTAACCAAGTGAGCCAAGGCACCGGCCCCAACGACCATCTCTTTTCAAAAACACAGTCAGTGGGCAGCCACCTGGCACCGTGGTTAAGACACTGCTTGGGAGCTGGCATTCTGGCACAGTGGGTTAAGCCGCCGCCTGGGACACCAGCATCCCTTATCTGAGCTCTGGTTCAAGTCTCAGCTACTGGGCTTCTAATCCAGCTCCCTACTAATATGACTGGGAAAGCAACAGATGATGGCCCATGTACTCAGGCCCCTGCTACCTATGTTGGAGATCAAGATGGATTTCCAGGCTCCAGACCTCAGCCTAGCTCAGCTCCAGTCGTTTTCAGCCGTTTGGGAAGTGAACCAGGAGATGGACGATTTCTCTCTCACTCTCTCTCTCTCTCACTGCAACTCTGCGTTTCAAATACAGAAAAGGTGCTTGAGTCCCTGCCACTCATGAGAGAGACCTATCCCAGCCCAGCCATTGCAGTCATTTGGGGAGTGAACCAGCAGATGGGAGCACGCTGTCTCCTCTCTCTCTCTCAAATAAATATTTTATATACAGTCATTAATTTAGAATTTAGTGTGTCCCATCAATGTCATCAAAGCAAATCTCATTAGCCTCCTTAAAAATCCCTGGCTCATGGGGGGCAGGTATCATGGCACAGAGGGTTAAGATGCCACCTGTGACACCAGCATCCCAATGGTCACTAGTTCAAGTTCTCTGCTCCACTTCTGATCCAGCTCCCTGCTAAAGTGCCTGGGAAAGCAGCAGATGATGGCCTACGTCCTTGGGCCCTGAACACACATGGGAGACCTGGATGGAGTTCCAGGCTCCTGGTTTCAGCCTGGCCCAGCTCTGGCAATTGTGGCCATTTGGGGAGTGAACCAATGGAGGAAGATCCATCTCATTCTCCCCGCTCCTATCCCCTGTAACTTTGCCTTTCAAATAAATAAATGAATCTTTCAAAAACAAAAACTCTGGGTCATAAAGAACTTCAGATAACCAGAGTGGTTACTGTATTCTTGGTGGATAACATCTTTTAACCTTGGGAAATCTTAGAAATAAGTATAAAAACATTTAAGAGAATCAAAACTATGGTTGGAAAAATCTCACCGATACAATGACAGTTGAGTAAAGTACAAGAGCAAAGAGGGAGACAGGGAGACAGAGTCATCTAAGTGTGTAAGTGTGCAGTTCAGAGAAATGGAACAGCAAGTGTAAAGGCTCCGAGGAGGGGCAGGCAAGGCAGGATGAGGACAGCAATGGGAGAGGGAAGCCAGGGAAGGCAGATTGGTGAAGGGGGTAGGACACGGTGAAACTCGTTCCTGAACGTCCAGCTTTCTAGGTGGGAAGCCACTGCCCAATCCATGTCCCTCGGTGGCATGAACAAATTTACATCAGACCCTTTAACAATAATATGTCACTGAACGAGTTAAGCCTATTAGACAGAATTCTGCTTAATCCAAAAACATTAAACGATACAGGGTGCACCCAGTATTATTCTATCTTACAAAGTGTTCTGCTGTTCCAGAATCATTTTCAGCAGCAAAGCTGGTGGTTTCAGAGCTATGGGAAAAGGTCTGGCCCTGGCCTTCTGGGGGTGTGGTGGGAAATGTCCCCTCTCCGAGCACACTGCACACCGCGGGTCACTGGGTCAAGGGTCCCAGGCCTGATTCTCACTCCTCATTCACCACCTGTGCAGCCAGGGAGGTTCGCAGGCATAAAGACACCAGATCCCCCGACATCAGAGGGATTCCGACTCCAGGTGCCACACCTCTGGGAGGCTTTCCTGATGAAGATCTGGTAAGGTTTATAAAGCAGGGAGACCATGGAGCGACTGGCCCCTTCGGAGCCTGCCCTAGTCAATGCCCTTGGGGGGGAACGCTGTTGGGGCGCTATCACCGTTCACCCTCAGAACAGCAGATGAAGCTCTGGAGCGCTGGGCGTGCGTTTCCTCCACACGGTGTAATAATCCATCAGTCTAACTGGGTGGTCATTTAATGGGAAATTAAGTGAAATAATTCTTACTGGTGAAAGCGCTCCATTTACTTAAGTTCTGCAAATATAAAGGCTGATTAAGAATAGAGGTGATGCTGGCACGTGCGGTCAGGAGCCCAGTAGGTGTGAATCCAGCGCTTCCACACCCGTGGCGAGTGCCATTGGCACAAGCAACGACAAGAGCGCACCCGAAGGGGAAGGGGCCATACCGCCGCCTCATTTAGGGGAGAGGCAGCTGCACGGGCAGGGGATGCGCACCGATGGCTCCGTCAGGGAACAGACCGGCGGAGCTCGCTAATTGGTAGGTGCAGGAAGTCCGTCCGGCGTTCTACGCCCAGATTTGCCGCACCAGGATTTAAAGCCTAGGAAAAGGAAGGCGGCACCGAGAAACTCGGGCTATCGGCCCCGGGAGCCACGCTCCCAAGGCAGCGCCGCCGGCCCGCGCCCGCCTGGCGCCCATCAGGCGGCCGCCCGCCCGCCTCCGCCGCGCAGTCGGAGCCCAGCCGGCCGCTGGCCCTGCGCAGTCCGCGGCGCCCGACGGCTCCAGACACGCCCGGCACCGGCCCCGCCGGCTTCCCGCCGCCGCCGCCAGGAGGCTCCGCGCGCCTTCCCGCCTTTGCCCGGGCCGGACCGGGCCGCGCCGGGCGGCAACGCGGGCGCGGGCGGCGACGGCGCGGCCATTGTCCCGCAGCCTCTCCCGGGCGCGCAGGAGGCGCTGCCCGGCGGGCGAGGAGGCGCGGCCGGGCGCGCGGCTGAGAGGCGCGGCCAGGGGGCCGGTGCCCCGCGGCCGCCCGCCCGCCGTTCCTCACG